TGCATGTAACGCTCTTTTCATTTCTGTTGATGATATAAAATACCCTGACCAAAAAACAACTTAGGGGAGGAAGGGGTTTATTCAACTTACAGGTCTGGGTTGCAGTTCATTACTGTGGGGAAGTCAAAGCAGGAACTGAAGCATCACATCCACAAGGGAAGAGCAGAGAGTCAGTGCAGGTCCTCGCTGCCGCTTTCTTCACCTTCACTTGTTTTTTTTTTCTTTTCTTTTCAGTCTTTTTGAGACAGGGTCTCCCTGTAGCCCCAGCTGGCCTGGAACTGGCTATGTAGACCAGGCTGGCCTTGAACTCAGAGCTCCACCTGCCTCTGCCTCCCGAGTGCTGGGATTAAAGGCGTGCGCCACCACACCTGGCAGCTTTCTTCACTCTTATACAGTCCCTTAGCACTGGGATTGAGGCGCGGACTGCTGCACCCCAGCTTTTTATGTACGTGCTAGGGTTAAAAACACAGGTCCTCCTGCTTGGTGGTGAGCACTTTACTGACTGAGCAATCTCCCCAGCTCCCCCCAAAATAATACTTGTCAAACATTTATCATATTCAACAACTTGTTTTAAACTATGTACTTTCTTACTGGGCATGGTGGCTTGTGCTTACAATGTCAGCACTAGGCTGAAGGAGGAGTTCCAGGCCATCCTTGTCCACTTAGATTAAGAAGCAATAATATAATTGATATATATCTATAATGCAAGAGGAGACGGGCAGATCAGAAGGCCATACCAGTCAAACAGATCCAAGATGGGTGTAGTGGCATGCACCTGTAATCACAGCACTGAGAAAGGAGCACTGCCGCAAGTTCAAGGCCAGCCTGGGTGACACAGTGAATTCCAGGTAGGCCAGGGTTACAAAGCAAGACCTTATCCCAGAATGCCAAAAAGAGGATGCTAGAGAGCTGGCTTAGCAGTTAACAATGCGTACTGCTCTGGCAGAGGACCGGAGTTCCACTGTCAGCACCCATAAGGGGTCTCACAAGCACCTGTAACTCCAGCTCCAGGGCTATTGCTCAGGCCTCCGAGGGCACTTGAACTGATGTGCACAAACCCACACACATACACATAATGAAAAACAAAATAAGAAAAGGGTGGAGGCAGAGGAAAGGGGAAAGGGAAAGACATCCAGTTGGATGTGATGGTACGCACCTGGGACTCCTAGCACTTGGGAGGCTAAAACAGGAGGATCAGGCGTTCAAGGCTAGCCTGGGCTATATAAGACTCCATCTCAAAACAAACAAACAAAAAACCAAAATAACAAAAGGGGGAAAAGATAGATCCCAAAAGACTGGAATATAGTGTAAGATAAAGTTTGTGTTTAAAATTTAAGTGTTGGGGCTAGAGAGATGGTTCAGCAGTTAAGAGCACTGGCTGCTCTTACAGAGGACCTGGGTTCAATTCCCAGCACCCATGTGGCAGCTAACAACTGTCTGTAACTCCAGTTCCAGGGGAATCTGATGACCTCTTCTGAGCTCTGCAGGCATTGCACGCATATGGGTGCACTCACATACATGCAGGCAATACTCATACACATAAAATTAAAATAATAAATATTTAAAAAACAAAAAAACCCTGAAGTGTTGAGACAGCTGTATATTATATTCATCCCTGCCTGCCTCAGTCTAATACCCCAACTGAATAATCAAGCATTTATGTTTTAAAATATAAACCATAAAAGAGGAAAACATGGGACTTTTGAAAATATATTGGAATGGGAAAAAATGATTTACAAAAGCATTAACACCAATAGATGCCATCTGACCATGAATTCATAAGTTTACAACACAAACTCCCTCCAAAACAAACTTTTTTTTAAAAAAAAGCAAAATAATATAACAAACCAAAGTCTAGAGGAAAAAGTCTTACACAGCCATTAAGAAAACAGCAATCAATAAAAAAATGATATTAAGATATGCCACAGAAAATGTGATCTTTAAAAATAGCAGAAAGTGGTATTAAATGCAAATTACAAATAGCAGAAAAATGCAAATTAAAACTGTCATAACATTTACCACTTAGCAGACTGGCAAAAATCAAAGTTTAAAACCCAGTTTCAGCAAAGTTATACAGGAATGACACTATATAACATTATAGAAAGAACCGAGTTAGTAAAACTTGTCTTTTTTGTAAATGCACATAGTCTAAAGTACAAATTCAACCCAGGATATAGCTTTAATATATATTTGTATATAGAAACTAAGTCATATGTACAAACGTAGTCACCTCATTCTTCATTTCAAAGGAAATAGGAGCATCTGTGTACTCAGGAAGTGACTGGTTCAACAGACTGGTTCATTAACTGTGGTATAGGCCCAAAACACTATGCAGACAAAGACCATGACCGAGGATGCTAGTCTATATTCTCTAATACATTTCATTTTCTACACTCGGAAGCACTCAAGGGAATCATTCTTCAGTAGTTTATAAAATGTAGTTCCAACTTCAGGGGGAGGGAAAAGTCTCACTACACAGCCAAGGTTGACCTGGAACTCAAAATTGAGCCCAAGGCCTCACCATCCACAAGATCCTCCCACTTCATTCTCTTGAGTGCTGGGATACAGGCGTCCGCTACTACACAGGCTAATTCCTTAATAGCTACAGATTACCTCAGAATCTGTCAGTTGTTTAAAAAGTATTATTTCCTTGTTTAATTTTTGTTTCTAACCTATTATTTCCTCTTTCACCTTTTAAAATTCTCCATCTTGAGACAATGACTTGCTGATTTCAGTTTCCTGGAAACATCTCCTAGTCCACATTCCAATTATATTGCATAAATTATCAAACATAAAATACTTTTCAGTTTTAAAAAGCTCAACTGTTATTATATTTTCTTTAATTAATAGTTATTTTGAAGTTAGTTAAAGAGTCCCAAATGGAGAGACTTCTCTAGTCCTACATAAGAACGTTCCACATTCCAATTATATTGCATAAATTATCAAACGTAAAATACTTTTCAGTTTTAAAAAGCTCAACTGCTATATTTTCTTTAATTAATAGTTATTTTGAAGTTAGTTAAAGAGTCCCAAATGGAGAGACTTCTCTAGTCCTACATAAGAACGTATTTTGTGTCATTTCAATCAACTGACATTTATTCAGATTTGCTTTATGGTTCAAGACATGGCAAAAAATTTCTTGTATGAAAGAATATTTTGTAAATTTGGGTAAATCCATGTATTTCTGCTAGACCTTTAAACAGTTATTTGTCCAAATGTTCTATCCTGATTTTGCTCCTGACTTGAAACAGGTATTATGAAAACCCAAGCTGTTTTTCTCTTTGTAGTTTCATAAACTTTTGCTTTTTATTTATGGAGGCTATGCTCTTAGTTACATATGAATACAAATATTCAGATCCTTCTAATGAAATTAATTTTTGGCTCATATATGATTTTATTTTTTTCCCTACTTTTATCAGTAAATTTTTGTTGCTCTTGAAGTCTTTCTTGGGTAATTTCTTCAGTTAATTATTAACAGCAAGCTTTTTTTCCTCCTAGTCTTCAATTTGAATGCTTTTGTGCCTTTATTTTGTGTTTGTTGTTTTTTGAGACAGGGTCTCACTATGGAGCCCCAGGTGGCCTGAAACTCTCTATGTAGACCAGGCTGGCCTCAAACTCACAGAGATCCACTTGCCTGAGTACCAGGATTAAGTTGGTACCAGGATTAAAGGCATATGCTTTTCTGCTTGAACATTTTTAACATTTATTCAAATGAGCCACATATTTCAGGTTTTAGTAAGACTGTCATTACCTCTCACATCTAAGCAAGTTGTTATTTCAGATTGCATCCTTCACGTAATCCAAGAGTCATATGTTAATGTTTAAAAACTGTAATTTTTTTCCAATTCACCTTTTGCGCAAATCTAATTGCCCTGAGTTACTATAGGAAAATACCGACTGCTTTTGCAAATCTTCCTGTGGAAGACATCTGATCTCACCTTCACTCAAAATGAATTTATCAGGAGAGTCCACACAGTGACTTTCTGGAGTCAACTTTCTAATTCAACGTATTTCACTGAGTATTCACTCACGTTACATTCTAGTAATTTTCATCCCAGAATCAATTACCATAGATTTGACATGGGATAAACTGTGACAGCAAACTTCATTTTTTTAAAAAATGCACAGGGTTAAAAAGCATATGAGCATTCCGAAAACAGAAGCGAAGGAGATAATGAAAAGGAGAGACCAATATTTCCTGATAGTTTCTACTTGCTAGTGAGACTATTCCAAAGGTCTTTTTACTGAATTCAGTGAACCCTCACAATAGCCTTACTGACGGTTAAAAACCAGCAATCCAGAGCAGAGGGGTGAAATGATTTGGTAATAAAACGCAGGTGGTAAAAGATGCCTATTAGAGGTAAAAGCTCTTCTACACCGAGAAAGTCCACGGTTGTCCTGCATGCTACTACCTAGAGTTATAATCAAAGCTTACTCTTTTTACTGGTAATAGAATTAGCTTTTCTAGTCATAATTTAAAGTTTTTCCTGTATAAGTTTGATACTCAGTAAACTGTGGGTTATGAAGCAAAAGAAATTTGTAGTCATCCAATGTTCTTACAAATGGCTATTCCATATTTTTCCTGTATAAGTTTGATACTCAGTAAACTGTGGGTTATGAAGCAAAAGAAATTTATAGTCATCCAATATTCTTACAAATGGCTATTCCATAAGGGACAGCTGGGGGAGGGGGTATCAAGGGTTTCCTGTTCTAATCTTATCATAAATTACATAATGTTAAGTACAGTGTGAGCGCAGGCCATCACACACACCTCATTTTTATAAGGCTTCTCCCTAGCACAGGTTCTGTTGTTTAAAAGGAGAGCTGAGGGACACATAGGTTTCCCTTTGCTGACACTATGAACATTTTTCTTCTATGTGCTTTTGAAAGTGTTGGATAAGGATTCCTAAATAAACAAAGGACAACCTTCAAATGCACAGAATTTCGCCCACTGTATGTATTCTCTGGTGCTTTTTCACCTGTAAGAGCCGAGTGAAGGCCTGTCCACACTCCTTACATTCATAGGGCTTCTCGCCAGTATGAATTCTTTGATGTTGCGTGAGATGGGACCTCTGCCTAAACGCCTTACTACACTGCTGGCATTGAAAGGGTTTCTCACCAGTGTGAATCCTCTGGTGTAGAATAAGAGTTTTACAATCAATAAACGCCTTCCCACATTCTTTGCATTCGTAGGGCCTCTCACCAGTGTGAATTCTCTGATGTCTATTAAAGTAGGAAGGACAGGCAAAGGCCTTTCCGCATTCCTTACACTCATAAGGCTTTTCTCCAGTGTGAACTCTCTGGTGCTGAATGAGATGTGCTTTCTGCCTAAAGGCCTTCATGCATTCCTGACACTCATACGGCTTCTCATTGGTATGAGTTCTGTAGTGTTTCATAAATGCCGAGTGACAGAGAAAAGCCTTCTCACAGTAGTTACACTCATAGGGTTTTTCCCCAGTATGAATTTTCTGATGATCATTCAGGTTGGAAGCCCAAGTAAAGGTCTTGCCACATAAGTTACACTCATAGGGTTTCTCGCCGCTGTGAATTCTTTGATGTCTGGTTAGATTCGCACTCTTGTTAAAGGCCTTCTGACACTTGTGACATTCGTAGGGCTTCTCGTTGGTGTGTGTTCTCTGGTGCTGGAAAAATGTAGAGAAGTAGAGGAAGGCCTTCCCACAGTGCTTGCACTCATAGGGCTTCTCGTCCGTGTGAACTCTCTGGTGTTGGACCAGCAGGGAGCAGTTAGTGAAGGCTTTCCCACACTCCTTGCATTCACAGGGCTTCTCCCCAGTGTGAAACCGATTATGCTGAAGGAGGTAGGCGTGCTTTTCAAAGATCTTGCCGCATATCTCACACTGATAGGGTTTCTTGTTTATCTGGTACGGAGCAAGGTGGAAGTCATAGGCAAATTCTCGGCCACATTCTTTCAATTCATCACATTTCTCTCCAGAAAAATTCCGCTGCTGCTTCATCTGATCTGTGTAGTAGATAAAGGCATTCTCGTACATTTCCTTAAGTTTGTCACTGGCAGGGATTCTTACCTGTTGAGGGAGGTTTTCACCTGCTTCCTGTTCATTCTGTTTAGTTTCAGAATGAACTGTCTCACTTAGAACAAAAGGGGTAGGCTGAACAAATTCAGCTGACACTTTCTCCCGCAGGGCTGACAACTGTTGCGAATACTCTGGAGACTGGGGCTGTGTCTCAAGCAGTCCCTTGCATTTCCAATCATTTCCAAAGCAAGACTCCTCAAGGCAAGAAGTATCAACTCTTTCTATTATTTTCCATTTTAATGATTCCTTTCCAAAAATGCCACTCTCTAGAGATAAATTCTTAGTTTCATTTAGAGACAGCAAATCTGAAAGAAAATAAACACATTTTTCCAGTTTTAGGAGACATTAAACTTCTACATTAGAAATAAATAGAAAATAAAGCTCTTACGATGTAAAAGGGGCTGGAGAGATGGATCAGCAGTTAAAGCACTGGCCGAACAAGCAAGAGAAGCAGAGGTCAGATCCTCTGAACCCATATAAACGCTGAGCAGGCGTGGAGGCTCAGCTTTAATCCCAGCCTCGCAAGGCAGAGACAGGGAAGCTGTGTCCCGAAGCAAGCTGGCTAGTGAGACTAGGCCTTGACTGAGAGGAGACCCTGCTCAAAAAGACTGTCCAACTCTAGGGGCTCTGACACCCCTGGCCTCCACTTGTACCTGCACGCCCCACCCCACCCCCACCCCACACACCCCCACACAGTCTCTCAAAAATAATAAAAAAAACAAAATTTAATAAAAGATGATTGTCATCAACCTACACATGTACCTGCATACACACATGCTCCCCCACATATGTAAACACATAACACACACATACCATATACACATGAAAAAAAAGATGGAAATGGAACAGGTGAGACAGCTCAGTGGGTAATGGTGCTCGGTGTGCAAACCTAACAAACTGAGTTCAATCCCTGATCTCACGGTGGAAGGAGAGAACTGGTTCCCAAAAGTTGTCCTCTGACCTCCACACCAATGCATGCATGCACACACGGTAACAAAAAATTTTTAATAAAAAAAGCATTAGCTTAGGTAACTTTCAAATATTAACATTTACTGTGAAGAAAAACAGTTGGAATAGTTACATTTTAATATCAGACAAATAGACTTCAAGATAATCCATATTGTCAAAGATAATTTTATCACAATGACGAGTATATTTATTGAGTTAGCAATCAGAGTTGTAGTTTTGTAACAACAAAGCCTAAAAATACATGAAGGAAAAAAAAAAGCCAATTCTACAATCATAATCGCAGACTTTATAACCATCTCCCAGTAACTTACACAACCTCCAAAAATTTAGTAAAGAAAAAGAGAATATAAATAAAAATAACACTGTCCACCACTGTCAGCACTGGTTAATTTTTATAAAACGTAAACATCAGCCAGGTGTGGTGGTGCACACCTTTAATCCCAGCAGTCAGGAAGCAGAGGCAGGTGAATCTCTGTGAGATGGAGGCCAGACTGGTCTACATAGCGAGTTCCAAGCCACCTGTGACTACACACACACACACATACATACACACACACACACACACACACACACACACATCAAAACTGCTGAATAGTGCCAGCAAGATGGCTTAGTAGATTAAGGCGCTTGTTGCCAAGCCTGACAACCTGAGTTTGATCCCTGGGACCCACATGATGGAAGGAGAGAACAGACTCCCAAATACTCTTATGCGCAAGTACGTGCACACAAACATAACCTATTTCTCTCTCAATAAATACAGTAAAGCTTTTTAAAGTGTGCTGCTCTTCTTCCCATTTCTCATGCTGTTTCAAAATGCTGGGCCCGATGGCACAGCTTTCTGTACAGTAGTCCCTCAGGGGAATGTCACCACCACTCTGTGGCTAGTTTGGGCTTCCCTAAATACCATTCCCATGACTCCCAGAGCGACTCACCTGGATACCATCCTGCGTGCTCCGCCATCCAGGGTTCTTTCCCTTGCTCTAGTAGTGAAATCACTGCTGGCTTAGAAATGGCAAGTCCTGCCAAAGAAGCAAAGGTTAAAATCCAGCGTAGAAAAAAAACGACGAAAAAAATTTTGATATAGAATTAGTTTAACCTAAAACAAACCAAGAAGCCTCAGAATGGTTACAGTAAAAAACAAAACAAAAAAACATTTAGCGAACACTTGAGCAAGTAATTGCTTTCTGGAATCACTGATGAAAATGTAAGTAAGTAGAGAAAGTAGCATGAGGTTCAAGGCCAGGCTGGTCTACATAGTGAGTTCCAGACCAGCTGGGGCTACTCAAAAAAAAGAATGTGTTTCCCCAAATTTCAGACAACCACTTTCTGTCTGCATCCTACAGAGCCCTCTACTGTCCATAATGTGTCTCCTTAAGAGCCAAGAAGAAAAGCCAATTACAAAACTGGCCAGAAACTGATGTGAAGGACAGTCACCAACAGAAAATATGAACCTGGAAATGGTGACTACACCTGTGAGCCCAGCACTCGGAAATGGAGGCAGGAGGGTCAGACGTTTAAGGCCATCTTTGGCTACACCGTGAGGTCAAGGCGAACCTGAGATACAAGAAAACAAAAGAGGGCTGGAGAGACGGCTCAGCTATTAAGAACACTGGCTGTTCTTACAGAAGACCTGGGTTCGAATCCCAGCACCCACATGGCAGCTAACAACTGTCCATAACTCCAGTTCCAGGGGATCTGACAGCCTCTTCTGTCCTCCGCAGGCATTGCATGACATGGGTGCACTTACCTACATGCAGGCATAACACTCATACACATAAAAATAATAAAATATTTAAAAAAGAAAACAAAAGAACAGAACATATGAAGAGGCCTGAGAGGTAGACATACCTCTCTGGGCTACAGAGCTCAGACCAATCTTCTGAAACAAGGAACAGAAATTTAGATATCTGAATATTTAGATATATGAATCCTAAGAATTTGCCATGGAGAGAGCACAATTTGCACTGAGGATTGAACCCAGGCCTTGCACCTGACAGACTAGCACTCTACCACTGAGCTACATACATCCCTTAGAGTTACAAGGAACAGATGCCCTTACCCAGTGACACAAAGTTACTGTAGGTCTCCAACATCACATCTCTGTATAAAGATCTCTGATCAGGGCCCAGGTATTCCCACTCCTCTTTACAGAACTCCACAGCCACATCCCTGAACACCACCAACTCCTGAAAGGAAAACATGATGTCATACAGCCAACAGTAAAGAAAATCATTTCAGGCAAATGATAATATTTTTAAAAGGTTTTCCAGGGAAGGAATGTCGCTTCCCAGCACCAGGGAGACAATCTGAGGATTCCAAGTTCCAGGATAGCCTGGGCTACATAGAGAGATCCTGTCTCGAACAAAATTAATTTTTTTGTTTCCTATTGAGAGAGGGTATCCCTGTAGCCCCAGCTGGCCTCAAACTTGCTATGTAGACCAGGCTGGCCTCGATCTCAAGAGATTTGCCTGCCTCTGCCTCCAAGTGCTGGGATCAAAGGTGTGTACCACCACACCTAGCAAAATTTCCTTTAAAAAATTGTGTGTTTGTGTGTGTGCATGTGAATGAAGGTGCTGGAAGAGCCCAGAAGTGGGTGCTGAATCCCCTGGAGCTGGAGTTACAGGTGGCTGTGAGCTGACCAGTGTGGATGCTGGGAACCAAACTTGGGTCCTCTGAAAAAGCAATACATTTTCTTAACTGCTGAGCCATCTCTCCAGCGAACCATGTAAGGTTTTTTAGAGGTATTCTAACTAAGAAATAGTTCAGAATTGGAAGCTTACAGCCCAGTAGGAGAAATATGAACATACACACAGCAACCCTGTGTTGTGAACTGCATAAAACCTCACATAACTGTGGATGGCTTCCACTCATCAGGACATGATTCTAGGCAACAATCTAATGTTGAATAACTCTATAAAGATGCTAAACTATATGCTGCTTCTGTGGAGTAAACGCTAACTTAGCTTGGAGCTTTGAGAACAAATTCTGAACATTTCAAGAACCAGCCTTTGACTCCTGAATAATAATTTCGGAGCCCTTGAATATCCTGCCTGGTGAGGATGTTTCTTTTTTTCAATTGTGTATGCATGTGTGTATCTGTGAACATGAATGCAGTGCCCATGGAGGCCAGAAGAGGGTGTCAGATCCCCTGGTGCTGGAGTTACAGGTGGACGTGAGCTGCCCAATACAGGTGCTCAGAACTAAACTCAGGTCCTCTGGAAAAGCAGCATGCAGTCCTAACCACTGAGCCATCTCTCTAGCCTTGTCTCTTCTGTAGGCCTGAAGCGTTGGGATGTGGGTTAGACCTCTAGGGAGCTGGAGGCTGCGTAACAAAGTGAGCTGCGGGCACTACCAGTGAATCCAAGGGGCACCAGGTAAGTGTCCCTTATTGTCCATACTTCATACATGCTCCATACATATACACACACACACTTCACACCACGGCCGAGAAGCAAGCATGTCTCCAATTCACTTTCCAGGATGACACACCTACAAGCTTGTGAATGTTTTTCCTAGACTTTGTCCTGGGTGATTTTTCTCTTTACTAATCTGCATCTTTCACAGTGACTCCACTGTGTAAGGATAACTGCTTCCCTCAATCCTGCAAATCCAACCAAAGAAATGCTCCAGACTGGCCAGGCATTGTGGCTCAGATTTGCAACCCCAGCACCAGGGAGGAGAGCTCCAAATCCCAGGTTAGCCTGGGCTACATAGTTGAGTTCCAGACAAGTCTGGGCTACAGAGTGAGACTCTATATCAAGTTAAAAACAAATCAACCCACAGATGAGGTACAGCAGCTGAGGGTAAGGATTGGGCAAGTGGGGAATGCATGAAGGAAATCAGGCATTACACTAGAGCCCTTAGAGATGCTCTGAGCGAGAGAATTTAACTGTCTCTTAGTATGGTTAGAGCAGCTGCCCAGAAGAATGAAGCCATTTGTTGATGATCATTTACTTTCGGAACCTGACACCTTCAAATGGAAGCCTGCAAACATAAGTGTCAGTGAGCATTCTGGGAGGAGTTTGGGTTGTGATTAAAACTAGTAACTGAGACACTCCTGGGGACAAGAGACAGAGCAGACCCTTAGAAACTAAAAGGTACCAACTCCTCTTAGGCCCACAAGAGAAGCAACAGCAGTCACTGAGCCAAGCTAAAGAGACTTTTCCTTCCCAGAATTCTTGCCTCCAGTGCAGTCCCTGACGGCCACCGTGAATGAAGCTCAGCAGGGCCTGTGTCAGAAGGGCCCAACTTCTCCTCCTTTTCTGTCCGTTTTAGGTGCTGGCCAGAAGCTAAGTACCCTTTTTCTGATACTCTGGGCTTCCTAGCTCTTTCTCTGAAGCTCCTCTCCCTACCAAGTGGCTGACCTCTATGCTAACTTAAACGGTGTGACCTTCCGCCCACCTCTCCTCCAGGCAGCTGCTGCTATTTATAGTTCACGGCTCTATTTTTCTTTTAAACTCTAATAAAATTGTCCTCAAGATCTCATTCTTAAATTCTTTTATTAATTACACTAAGAACCCCAAGAGGGGACCCTGATTTCCCCTGTGTAATCTGGTGACCATGAAGGGACTCCCAAATTCTAGTAAGAATCACTCATTCTTTCATTTTGTGCATGTGCATTTTGTGGCACACATGTGAAAGTCAGAGGCCAACTTGTAGAGACTAGTTCTCTCCTTCCACCATGTGGATGCTAAGAATCGGACTTAGGTTGCCAGTATCGGTGGCAAGCACCTTTGCCCACTGAGCCATCTCACCAGCCCTGTTCATTCCTTGACCTGGTACACTGAGATGGGTGACCCAGCATAACACCTAACCTGTGAGACTTGCTGGAGCTTGGGTATTTTTTTGTTTGTTTTGAAACTAGGTCTCAAGTAGCCCAGGCTGGGCTTGAACTCCTGACCTTCCTGCCCTCCCAACTAGCTAAAATCATGGGCTTATGCCTCCATGCCCAGCAAGTCAAGGGTTTTACCCTAAAATTCTGCTTGCAAGTTCTAATAGCTTTAATACATAAAACCTGTTACCCACCCATCTTGTGTCCTCCTTGTTAGTTAAGCATGGAATGCACATGTCCCCTCATCGAGTGCAGAACCAGGGACAAACTGGCCAATGCAGGCCAGGCCACTGATCAGTATCTCACATGGGAAAGTCCTCTAAACCATGAGGAAGGTATTAAAAAAGAAAAAGAGGAGGGAAGGGACAGAAGGAGGGAGGGAGGGAGGGGAAGGGGAAAGGGAAGGGATGGAAGGAGGGAGGGAGGGAGGGAGGAAGGGAGGGAGAAGGGAGGGAGGGAGGGAGCGAGGAAAGACAGAGATGGTTAGATGTTTAAGAGCATTTGCTGCTCTTGCAGAGGACCTGGGTTCCCAGCACCCACATGGTGGCCACCTGTAATTCCACTTTCACTGGATCTAACACTGTCTTCTGGCCTTCATGGATCTTCATGTGGTTGGATCTCTGTGAGTTCAAGGCCAGCCTGGTCTATGAAGTGAGTTCCAGGCCAGCTGGGGCTTCAGGGAGACCCTGTCCTCAAAAAAAACAAAACAAAAAAACGTGGAGCTGGAGAGATGGCTGTTAGGAGCACATGCTGCTCATGCAGATGATCCGAATAACTCAGCACCCAGCACCTACACCAGGCAGCTCACAGCTGTCTGCTCAGGATCCAACACCCTCTTCTGGCCTCCACAGGCACCCACATACACATAAATAAAAATATGTATCTTCAAATTTTATTTATTATTTATTTGTTTTTATATGTATGAGTACTGCCTGCACTCATATAAGCACACCCATGTCATGCAATGCCCAAGGAGGTCAGAAGACAGTGTTGGATGCCCTGGAACTGGAGTTAATGGACAGTTGTTAGCCACCATGTGGGTGCTGGGAATCGAACCCAGGTCCTCTGTAATAGCAGCCAGTGCTCTTAACCATCTCTCCAGCCTCAAATAATATATATATTTTAATTTTTTTTAATGTGTATGAGTGTATTGCCTGCATGTATGTAAGCACACCCATGTTGTGCAATGCCCGTGGAGATCAAAAGAGGGCGTTGGATCTCCTGGAACTGGAGTTACAGACAGTTGTTAGCTGTCATGTGGGTGCTAGAAACTAAACCCGGGTCCTCTGCAAGAGCAGTCAGTGCTCCCAACCACTGAGCCATCTTTCCAGCCTCCCAAATAATATATATTTTAACTCATTATATATATATACATATATATATATGTATAATTTAAAAGTCTTCTTCCCTTTAATTTAATATATAACCATCATCTTTGTGGGTGATATTATAATTCTAAAGAGTCAACAGGTGGGCTGGGGGTGTGGCTTACGGCTGAGTACCTGTCCAGCATGTGCAAGGTCCTAGGTTCAAACCCCAGTACTGAGAGAGAGAGAGAGAGAGAGAGAGAGAGAGAGAGAGAGAGAGAGAGAAAAAACACTCTTTTATAAAACAGTGACACATCCTCCCTTTTTCACTTACAAAATTAGTGTTTATCACTTGACACAGGAGGTGGGCTTAAAGGAGTCTAAGAAAAAACTCCAGCAAGTGAAGGAATGAGTGGGGATTTCCCACCTATCACTTCATAAAAACCTCAGTGATGGGGCTGGAAAAATGGCTCAGTGGTTAAGAGCCCTTCCTGCTCTTTCATAGGACCTAGGTCCAGTCTCCAGCACCCATATAGTGTCTAATATCTGTCCTTAAGTCCAGTTCCAAGGGATCTAATGTTCTCTACTGGCCTCTCTGGCACCAGGCACATGGTGCACTTTCATTCATGAAGGCAAAACACTCATCTATGCAAAATAAATCTTAAAAAAAAAAACCCAAAACCTCAGTGATTCTTTTTTGATCCTATATAATTTTGAGACAGAGAATCTACCCAATTTTCCCAGGCTCGGACCTGAATAAAACTGTCTCCTCCACTAATCTGTGTCCAGTTTTCTGGTAGAAGTGGTTAGTAAACAGAACCTCCACGTTCCACCAGGGGGTACAGGGAATAGCTCTTTCCCAGCACACTTACTCAGGAACTAACTGTGAGATCAGATGCTCATAAAAGTCTTGGATATCGGAGCTGGAGAGACGGCTCAGCACTTAAGAACACTGACTGTTCTTGCAGAGGACCTGGGTTCGAATCCCAGAACCCACATGGCAGCTAACAACTGTCCTTAACTCCAGTTCCTGGGGATCCGACAGCCTCTTCTGACCTCTGCGGGCATTGCACAACACGGGTGCACTTACCTACATGCAGAATACATACATACACATAAAATAATAAATAAAAGCCGGGATTGGTGGTGTATACCTTTAATCCCAGCACTCAGGAGGTAGAGGCAGGCAGAGCTCTGTGAGTTCACAGCCAGCCTGGTCTACATAGTGAGTTCCAGGACAGCTGGGGCTACAGGGAGACCCTGTCTCAAAAAGACAAAAAAAAAAAAATTTTTTTTAAAGTCTTGGATATCAAGGACAAATAAAACTGTAACTAAACACATTTCTGTAAACTGGACACAGTGGCCCAAGGCTGAGGCCAGTGGATCATGGCAAGTTTGAAGATAGTCTGGGCTACATACAGAAGGTTCCAGGCTGCCCAGGGCTATGTCTCAAAAAACAGGAAAAAAGCAACATCTTTGTTCTTGCAGATGGAAAGTTATTAAGCAGAATAGAAAAAGACAATGAGTTTCTGATGGGAATAAGGAAGAGAGCATCACCAGAGTCCAGATTCCTAAGGAATAAATTATATAGCTGTTCTTACAGGGGGGAGATTGTCAAAGGGTCTGTAAACTATAAACAAATAAATGTAAAACCAGGTGGTGCAACCCTGTAATCTGGCATTTGGGAGGTAGGGCAGAAAGCTCATAAATTCAAGGTTATCCTGGCTACACCCCAAGTTCAGAGCCAGCCTGAGCTACAAAAGACCATGCCTTAAGAAGGAGCTGCAAGTTTAAAAGCAAGAATGTTTTTCCTTAATTGCAAATACCAACCCCAACATTTTTCTTTATAGATTTTTTTTTTTTTTTTTTTGAGGCAGGAGCTCATGTACCTCAGGCTGGCCTAGAACTTAAAAGGTAGCCCAGGATGGCTTCAAACTTACGGTAATCCTCCTGTCACAACCTCCTGAGTACTGGGGCTTACAGGCTATACCTACTACAATTTTATATTTTCATTTTTCTTGATCCAGAGGATACAAAATAACAATAATAGTATATTTTGTGTATTAGCATTTTTGAGGGCCCTGTACATATCAATTTAGTCACTAAAAATCTAATAGTAGTGCTATTATTTCCTCCAGTTCTAGATAAGGTGAGGAACAGAAAAATGAAGCAGGGGCTGGTAAGACGGCTCAGTGGTTAAGAGCTAATGCAGATCTTGTCCAGCCAGAGTTCATTTCCCAGAACCCACATCAGGTGCTTCACACTGCTGGAACCCTAGTTCCAGGGGATCCAATACCCTCTTTTGGCCTCCAGAGGCACTGTACTTATGCATAAATCCACACAGACACTGACAGACAGATACACGCGCGCGCGCACACACACACACACACACACACACACACAAATTGAAAAAAATTTTAATTAAAAGAAAAATTAAGTAAAATTCTCAAGTACACACACATATTGCAATTCCTACATGACCTGGGAGAACAAAATTATGCTGAGCATGGTGGTGCACACCTTTAATCACAGCACTCAGGAAGCAGAGGCAGACAGATGAGTCTGAAGTCAGCTTGGTCTACATAGCAAATTCCTGACCAGTCAGGACTACATAGTGAGATCTGGTATTTAAATTTAAAAAAAAAAAGGTGTGTGGGGGGGTGCTGGAGAGATGGCTCAGCAGTTAAGAGCACTGGCTGCTCTTGCAGAAGACCTAAGTTCAGTTCCCAGCACCCACATGGCAGCTAACAACCACCTGTAACTCCAGTTCCAGGGGATCTGATGCCCTCTTCTAGCCTCTGTGGACACTACATGACACAGGTGCACTTAACATACACACAGGCAAAACATTCACACATACAAAGTGAAAATAAATAAAAACTCAATTTTCTTTAAAGGCAAAAATTATGCTGACAAAATCTCAAACTACACTTGGTTACTATGACAAAGTGGAAACCAGAAAGGGCAAGTCCATGGGAGCCAGGCGTGGTGGCGCACACCTGTAGTCCCAGCACTCGGGAGGGAGAGGACGGTGGATCTCTGTGAGTTCAAGGCCAGCCTGGTCTACATAGTGAGTTCCAGGACAGCTGGGGCTACAGGGAGACCCTGTCTCAAAAAGACCAAAAAAAAAAACCACAAATGAGAAAAATAATTGAAAGAAGAAACTACACCTCACCTTGAATACAGTGTTTACATCCACAATGGCCATGCTTCTCAGTACCTGGGACACCTCTGGAAAACTGCAGAACTGGAAAAGAAAAACGGAATTAGGAGAAACTGGGTCTGTCTCGTCATCAACTATGACCCACTCTCTGTGCCCTCTGCCTGCGTACACACACAAAGCTGAGTTACTTTTCTGCTCACCTTTAGAGAAGGAAAGTCTGGATAGAGGCAGACAGATCCCTGAGAGTTCGGGGCCACCCAGGGCTACCTAAATGAGACCCTGCCTTAAAAAAAAAAATTCTGGGTAGAAGCTGCCCAGGGTTGCAACTGAAATACGATTTTGGGATACTCACAGCGATGAGAAATGATAGACACTTGCTCCCTTAATTCAAAAAGCCTGTTACCCACCCAGGAAGTTCACTTGATAATAAGGTAAGGAATGGGCCGAGCCAGAATCCCCTTAGCACAAGGATAGACTCCACTGATGGGCTATAGGACTAATGCCAGGCTGAACCAGGGACAAACTAGCCACTGATTTGTATCAAACATGGCAAAATCTCCTTAAGAACATGATGAGATTTATTTATTTACTTATCTATTTATTCATGTATTTTTGAGACAAGGTTTTACTAGGTAACCCAGGCTGGCCTAGAACTCACAGACCCACCTGCCTCTGTCTCCAAGTACTGGGATTAAAGGCATGCGCCACCATATCTGGCTTTTTTAATTTTTAAAAAATGTTATGTCCATGTTTAAAACCCCCAGACATCTCTAAGACCCCATAAAATGTCTGCTCCATTTCTTTGACAGCAAGTAATGTGAATTCCCCCAAAACAACTGCTGTACCCTTTTCTTCAATCTCTTTTCTTCTGTAACCTGTCTCAGAGTTCATACTCAGTCTAAGTTTTTCTTTCTTTTTTTTTAAATGTGTATGGATCTGTTGCCTGCTTGTGTATAAGTATACCTGTGCTATGCAATGCCCAAGGTCAGAAAAAGGTGTCAGATCCCCTAGAACTGGAGTTAAAACCAGTTGTTAGCCATCCTGTGGGTGCTGGAATCGAGCCCAGGTTTCCTACAAGAGCAGTGAGTGCTCTTAACCACTGAGCCATCTCTCTAGCCCCCTGAGTTTTTATTTCTATAATCACCAGGACAACCTCCCCTGAGTCTGGGACTTTTCAGAAGATCCAGACATGTGAACTTAGTAGGGCTTCTTTTTGTTTTACCCACAGAGCTCCCAAAGAAACCACCAATGGGAATTTCTACGCCCAGTGACTCTTTTCTTTTCTTTTGGTCTTTTTGAGACAGGGTCTCCTGTAGCCCCAGCTGGCCTGGAACTCACTATGGAGACCAGGCTGGCCTTGAACTCACAGAGTTCTGCCTGCCTCCACTTCCCAAGTGCTGGGATTAAAGGCAGGCGCCACCATGCCTGGCTCCTTTTTTTTAATTTAAGATTTCATTTATTTTTATTTTATGTGTATGAGTCTTTTGCCTGCAAGTGTGTAAGTGCACTACATGCATGCCATGCTCCTCAGAGGCCAGAAGAGGGAGTCAGATCTCCTGCAACTGGGAACCAAACCCAGGTCCTCTGAAAGAGCAGCTCTTTAACTGTTGAGCCATCTCTGTAGCTGATATTCACTCTTCTTGACTTGGGATCCCCTTCAACCTCTAAAGTTCTCCCCCAGGGCTGGGTATGCAGCCCAGTACTAGAATGTTTGCCTAGCATCAAGAAGCCCAAGTTCAGTCTCCAGTAATACAAAAAATAACATAAGAAACAGAATTAATTCTGTTGGAAGATCAAAGCTGTGGCTCAGACTAATGGCTTTAGGTGTTACTTTCATCAGTAGGTTCAATAATCTTCAAAACTTCCTTTTATCACACATCCCCATCCCTACATGCCATCCCATTATTAACCCCCCCACACCCTATCTCACCCCACAGTTGCTTCTACTGGGACAATAAACTGCCATGTCCTTATCTATAAAGCCCTCCCCACTTCACTGAGAGGTTTTTCCATGGACTGCAGTCCTGCACTTCATATGAATAACAAACAGGAACTTGATCTCCCTGGAAACCATAAACACAAAGTTGAATTTCAGCAAGAACTGGTCTGGTGCAGGATTAAAGTCCTACTTTAGTTCATTTAAGCAGCTATAAGAAAATATCAGAAACCGGGCAGTTTATAAACAGTTATTTCTCAGTTGTAGAGGCTGAGAAGTTCAACAAACCAACAGATTTCATGTTTGTTCACAGTGTTCATCTCCTGTCATAAAGAATGCCAGGAGCTGAGAACCGTTTTCTCTTTAGAACCTGGAGTGGATCATCTGGAATCTTGAACTCCAAATTCTGGTTTTTCTAATGGTAGTCAACACAGTCACCAATTCTTCCTTAATCCATGGAAGAATCCTCAAGTCTCTGTTGTTTGTTCCCTAAACAAGACTAAATGCCTACTCTTGAGGGTGTAACATGAAATCAAGAGTCACACAAAAATAAGTTTTTTAAACATATAATTTCTAGGGCTGGAGAGATGGCTCTGTGGTTAAAAGCACTGACCCGGATTCGATTCCCAGCATCCACATGATGGCTAACAACGCTCTGTAACTTAAATTCCAGGGGATCTGACGCCCTCTTCTGACCTCCACAGGCATTGCATGACATGGGTGCACTTAGATACATGCAGGCAATACACTCATACACATTAAATAAAAATTAAAACTATTAAAATATATGTATATATCATTTCTACACACACGAAGGATTTCTCTACGTGACCCACGATGACCTGGAACTCATTATGTACCTGAGGCTAGCCTCAAAGTCACTGTCTTCCTGCTTTAGCCTCTAGAGTGCTGAGATTATAGATGTGGGTCAGCACACCTGGCTCCTCACTACGTTTAAAAGTCACACTGATTGGGTGCTCTATACAGTAAATGTATCTATCTGGTGTAGAGAAATCCTTATCCCCTCTATTATTTAGCTTGCCTTTTCCAATTTTTCGAGTAAACTTGACAGCAAATTACAAGTACCTTTATTCCCACCCCCTCGGAAGTCGGGCGCGGGGGGAAGGGGGGGGTCAAACACCCCTCCACCGCCACGGATCTGATGGCATCCCTCCGGTATGATCACACCGTCCACGCGGCTTCTCACCCACGCTCGCCCCGTCACAGTCCTTTCCAAGGGTATCTTAAGCCTCCAGCGCCATCCCGGAAACCGGGTGCGTCCCTGAGAACCCGCCGGCAGCCAGCGTCCGAGTACCCCAGGCCTTCACGCCGCACATCCAAAATGCTTAGAACCCGCGCCCAGACTCACCGCGGACGGATAAACGCGACCCAGCGGGTCCACGAACTCCCACGACGAGCGAGCGGCAGCTGGGCAGCGACTCGTTAGGTCAGGTAGGGCACTGGGATGATCCGGAACCACCTCTCTCCGGCCACTTCCGCCATGTGTCTGCGCATTTGAAGAGGGACTACATTTCCCAGAAGGCCTTGCTTCTCAACACGCTTCGGGAGAGCGGGTTTCTTTGACCAAGAATAGAGAAATTGGAACCAGAGAAGCGTGTGATTAGCAGGTTAAGAGGAGGAAGTTCTCACAGGACCTGGGCTGGAATTCCCTGAGGCGTTTGGTTTCCGGGCTAGTTTGCTCCGGTATCAGAAGTGCGGTGTTTTATTTTTTTTCCAGGTTCTTTGGGAGCGCGAGACTACATTTCCCAGAGGCTTTTGCAGCCGGCGTACTCTGCCTGGGAGATCAGAGCTTCCTCAAGTGGCGTCCCAAAGCCCAGGCGCTCCTGGCTGAGGCCTTTAGAACTAGGAATGACTGAATAAGGCAAAGATCGCCCTATCTCTTCATTGGAGTAGTTCATCTATTTACACGCAAGGTAGCTACTAATTTAAATGTGTGGTTTTAGCCGGGCGTGGTTGTGCACGCCTGTAACCCCAGCACTCAGAAGTAGAGGCAGAAGATCCAGGTCAAGGGGAGGTTAGGGCTCCTTGAGACCCTATGTCAAAAAAAAGGAACCAGGGCTCAGCAGTTATGAACGCTTGCTGTTCTTCCACAAGGTTTGAATCCCAGCACCCACATAGCAGCTAACAACTGTCCTAACTCCAGTTCCAGGGGATCCCTTCTGCCCTCTGTGGGCACTGCACGATGCGGGTGCACTTACCTACATGCAGGCAATACACTCATGCACATAAAATAAAGTAATAAAATATTTGAAAAAAGAAAAGAGGCCGGAGAGATGGCTCAGATATTAAAGAGTACCTCCTGAGTTCGGTCTCCATCTGTAACCAGCTCCAGCCCTCTTCTGGCTCCAGGCATGTACAATACAGGTGGCGCGCACGCATGCCTTTACTAAGTTAGCTGAGGGAAGATGAGCAGAAGTTTGAGAGCATCCCACGCTCCCTCACAAAAGCCTGCTAAAAACAACGCCGGGTGTGGCACGTTTAATCCCAGCCCTCGAGAGGGAGAGGCAGGTGGATATTTGTGAGTTCGAGGTCAGCCAGGGCTGCACAGGGAGAACCTGTCCAAAAAACTAATTAAGGGCTGAAGCCACGGCTCAGTGGAAAGAGCGCTGGCTGCTCTTGCAGAGGACTCGGGTTCAATTCACAGCACCCACATGGCAGGTAACAACTGCCCATAACTCCAGTTCCAGGGGATCTGCTGACACCCTCTTCTGACCTCCATGGGCATTGCACAACACGGATGCACTCATATACATAAAATAAAAATAAAAGTAAAGCAAAAAACAATAAACATGATCACTGTTTTGGGGGGAGCTATCGCATATCTAACAGGCAAATAGCAGCTGTAAAGAAGACCAAAAAAAAAAAAAGTCTCTGGAGTGGATCAATTATAGGCTCCAGCTATTATGAAAAATGGAAAGTATATGCTGGTCTACAAACAGACCATGAAGATAATGAGACAGGGCAAAACCAAATTGGTGATCCCTGCCACAGCTGCCCAGCTTTGAGGAAATCTGAAATAGAAAACTATGCTATGTTGGCCAAAACTGGTGTCCACCACTAGTGGCAATCATGTTGAATTTAGGGCAGAGCATGTGGGAAATACTACAGTGTGCAGCCTGGCTGTCGTTGATCTAGGTGCTTCTGATATTAGACGCATGCCAGAGCAGATTGGAGAAAAGTAAAACAGAATTATTAATAAAACCTTGATAGAGCTTGCTTAAGATGAAACAACAACCATAAATAAATGTGCCATTTTGACTTAGTATAGTATGTTTCCTTTTTCTCTCTTTTGTGTTGGACTGAATTTTATCGGTTTTGGTGGGGGTGGGGGGGCTACTGCTAGATCCCAGGGCTTTTTACATGCTAGGCAAATACTCTGCCCCTGAGCTATATCCCAGCCCATTGATTTATTTCTTATCATTCCAATTACTAGTTGAAGTTCTTTTAGTCATTACTTCAGAAAGATCAACAAAGGTACTGCTCAATTGCAAATTTATCAATACACTTATAAAAAGGATCTTTATTCTCATTAGTTGATTTTCTTTCATTTATTTATTTAATTTATTTATTTATGTGTATGGGTATGTGTATGCCACAGGTGTACAGGTGTATAGGTACCTGTGGAAGCCAGAAGAAGGCATCAGATCCCCTGAAGCTGGAGTTACAGGTGGTCGTGAGCCAAGCCAACCAATGTGGGTGCTGGGAACTGAATTCCAGTCCATCTGTGAAAGCAAGAAGTACTCTTAACCACTGAACCATCTCTGCAGCCCCCTAAATTCATCAGTTTCTCAAAGAATACATCTAAGTTCCTTTACCACTTTTGGGTTATTATTCATTTTATTTACTCTGTGTGTGTGTGTGTGTGTGTGTGTGTGTGTGTCCATGTGCACATGTGGAGATCAAGGACAGCTAGTGGGAGGCGGTTCACTCCTTCCACTATGTGACTCCTGGAGATTGAACTCAGGTTGTCAGGCTTAGTGAGAAGTGCCTTTACCTGCTGAGCCATCTCCTGAGGCCCCACTTTTGGTTTTGAAACAAAGTGCTGCTAGGGAGCCCAGGTTGGCCCCAAACTTGCAGCAATCCCTCTGTCTCGTTTTCCTGACTGCTGGGGTTATGGTCATAAGCCACCACACTTGACAGTAATCCTTAAATATATAAATTTATGTCTTCCAATGAATTTGTAAAATTTTACCTATTATTAATTTTTGTTTTGTTTTTGGAGACAGAATGTCCTATAGCCCAGCCTGGCCTCGACCTCACTCTGTAGCCCAGGCAGGTCTTAAAGTTGCAGTCTTTCTGCCTCAACCTTCCCAGTGCTGTGGTTATGGTATACATGCCACAGTCAGTTTAAGATTTGGAAGAGAGGCTTTTCTATGAAGATAATCATATCTAAATCCATCTAATATCCAAATATAATAAACTTTTAAATATTTATTTTTTATTTATTTATTTATTTATTTATTTTGGTCTTTTTGAGACAGGGTCTCCCTGTAGCTCCTGGAACTCACTATGTAGACCAGGTTGGCTTTGAACTCACAGAGATCTGCCCACCTCTGCCTCCTGAGTGCTGGGACTACAGGTGTGTGCCACCACGCCCGGCTTATTTTATGTGTATGAGTGTTTTACCTGCGTGTATGTAAGTGCAGCATGTCATGCAATGCTTGCAGAGGACAGAAGAAGGTATTGGATTCCCTAGAACTGGAGTTATGGACAGTTGTAAGAGTAGCCAGTACTCTTTAACCACTGAACCATCTCTCAAGCCCCATGACTTAAATTTTTTTAATCTCTGTACATCTTATTTGCTATACTGTGTGAGTTAGGTGTTGGGAGCTGCTAGTCTATTATGTACATTGAGCTGTGGCAGCCTTGTTTACTGAGTCTGTGTTATGCATACCAGTACCTAATCTGCCTATTCAGGAGGAATGTGTTTATATGGAGAGCCTCGCAATACCTGACCTGGAGGCAATAGTGATAAACAAAAAGATCAAAGAAGCCTTTGAAGTATCTGACCGCTCCTTGACCCTCAGATACAGGTGGGAAAAAACAGCTGTTGAAACTAATTGAGTTCTTCTGTACAAAAAGGTGGAGCTGAAATAAACTGGGGCTGCAGTATTTACTGTCAGTCCTCCCAAGTATCTTTTCTGTCTCTTGTTCTTTCTTTCAATCCGCACTCCCCCTTTCAGGTACTGTCCATCTTGGCCGGCTGGCACCGGCAGTTAGGACATCCTGGACAATACTTAAATCCTAATACCAGGCATGTTCTATATGTCTATATGGCCTAGAGGCCAATGCAAAGTTTTCACCATTAAGAACAGTACTTTGGGTTGGGCATGACTAACATGTCTAAACCCTTAGTTTCAATTCCCAGCACAGCTTATTCCTCTAACCCTGCCACTTGGGAGGTTGAAGCTAGAGGATTGCCCCAAGTTCAGGGCTGGCCTGGGCAGCTTGGGCTAAAGAGGCCCCTGCTTCAAAATCCAGAAAAATAAAATATAATGGCAATCTAATATTACTTTTTCTATGCCCTATGAGTAGGCTAGAGATACCACTGAGAACACTGGAGCAGAGTCCCTGCCATTAAGAGCTAAGATTCAGTCCAAGATGCCGGCCCTTGCAACCACATGGCTGACACTAGTGAGTGGAATCTTGCTCACAAGACCAAGAAGGATACTGGCAGCCTGACTCTGCTTCTTAGCTTTCTGGGTCCATTGGCCTCTTCTTGGTCTCCTAGGACTCTTAGGGACACCCTCTTCTCAGATATCTGCCCTAAAACAACAAGGCCTTGCATCTGCCTAGAACTCTTAACGTAGGCACAACTCAATTCTTGGGACAGCTGTTGAGACAGGTATGAAAACCAGAAGGGATTTTTGGCCACAGGTCTGCTTTTCCCATAAGCCACCGCGGTCAGGAATCGGCAGGCTTGAACTACATTTTCCAGAAGGCAACGGGCGCGCGGAATTTATGACTTCCCTTTTTTCTTCCGGAGATTCTTGGTGTTTTGCAAGGTGAAGAGAATTCAGTTTATGTTCATAACACAGGTCAAGGTCGCTGTCGGGCAGGGCTCTGGACAAACTATGAAGTTGGGGCCCCCGACCCGGAGATAGAGAAGTCCCTAAATCATGGAATCGGCAGTTGTTAAGTGCTTCCTGGATGGGTAGCGCGGCAGTGAGGCTGTGACTGTAAGGGGCGTAACAGGGAGGTGACTTCGGTGCGTGTCGTTTACATCTGCATTGATGGCAGCTGTACCTTGGCACTGCTCCACTTCCCTGCTGTTTGCTTCGTCCTCTCTGTTCGAGACGACTTAAGACTGACACCAAAATGTAGAGGGAATTGACAAGGCTGATCTCCATTTTTCAGCGAGAAGCCTCTGCCTTGTTACAGTGGGAAGACATGGGACGTACTTGCACTTCTGAGGACCCGCTGTCTACATGCCTCAGAACCTCTGTTTTTCTTAGAGCTCTAACCTCAGCGTCAGTTGTAAGCTTAAACAGAGTCCAGTTTCCCTCATGCCTTTGTTAATTGACATGTATGAGCAGGATCTGAGGGAGTATTCTGTAAGGATGCTATGCAGTGTTCCCCCAGAAACGCCCTTCCTCCTTTTCCTGCCACTTTCCCC